TCCTCCTCTTCCTCCTCCTGCTCTTCCTCCTCCTCCTCTTCCTCTTCTTCCTCTTCCTCCTCCTCCTCTTCTTCCTCCTCCTCTTCCTCTTCCTCCTCCTCCTCTTCCTCCTCCTCCTCTTCCTCCTCCTCCTCCTTCTTCTTACCATGATCATTGAGAGGTTGCCTGACCACTCTATGCAGATGTCAGCTAACAAGTTCCACCCAACAGTTGGCATCCTTACTGCAAAACTCCAAAATCCAATACCTCTAGCACACTGATACGACACCACAAATGGAAAATTCCACACCACAAAACTTTGCTTCATAAGCTGGGCTTGGCAGTACACACCTACAAGCCCAGTACTCAGGAGGCTGAGGCAGGGTGAGTTGGAGGCCATCCCGGATAGTGAGACCCTGCCTCAAAAGATCAAAATCAAGAAACAAAAACATCAAAATCAAAACCACTGTGTTTCACGCAAAAAATTATTTTAAAGTATTGTGTAAGACTACCTTCATACTACAAATGCGCACTATTAAAAAGCATTTCAAGACTGGGCGTGATGGCACATGCCTGTAATCTCAGCTTTTGGGAGGCTGTAAACAGGTGGATCACTACAACTCCGATCTAGTAGTGAGACCCTGAACACCCTGTAGACCCTTCCCTAATATTACAAAAATAAATAAAGAAAAATTAAAAAAAAAAAATAGAAGGAGTCGGTTCAGTAGAATAAGCGCTTCCCTGGCAAGAGTAAGGGGCTGAGTTCAATCTCCGGTTCTGCCAAATAATAAAAATAAAATAAAATAAAAGCCGTTTTTTATAAATAAAAATAAATAAATAAAATAGAAAGCAGTTTAAAAATTACCTTTGGGGGCTGGGAAGATAGCTTGGCTGTCTAAGTGCCTCCTTGGCAAATGCAAGGACCAGGGTTCGATCCCCAGTACTGCATGCCATGCTGGCCCTGGAACCCTGGATGCCAAAACTGGGTATGGTGGTACATACCTGTAGTCCTGGCAGAGGAGGCTGAGACAAGAGGATCACTATGAGTCTGAGCTGCATAGCAAGATCTTGTACCAAATAAATAAATAGATAATTTTTTTAAAATGATTACCTTTGGTGTTGGCCAAATAGCTCAGCGGATTAAAGCGCCTGCGAGCAGGCACAGGGGCCAGGGGTTTGATCCCTGGGCCTGCCTGCTGGCCCCACCCCCAGGGCGCTCTGAGACAGCAATTGAGACTGGGCATAGGGGCACATGCCTGTAATCCCAGCTCTTGTAAACAGGCGGATCACTACAGTCCAATCTAGTAGTCAGACCCTGAATACCCTGTAGACCCTTTCCTAAAATACAAAAAAATAAAAATAAAAATGCTTACCTTTGGATTATATGTACCTAAAGCATGAATTAATTTTTTATTTAGACTTAGGTTTCATCCAAAATCCCAAAAATCTAAAATCTGAAACACTTCTGGTTCCAACTATTTCAGGTAGGAGATGCTTAACTGTATTCATAACCCAGGAGAGACCGCCACAGAGTAAGACGTCAGTCGGGCCAGCTTATCAGCAACAACGATCTGCCCGGTTACCAGGGTCACATTCTGCTGGCCTCCCTGGACACAACATGACTCCTTCTGGAGCTGGAATGTGGGAGAGGACTGACAGGCGGGCCTGGAGAGCTCTAAGGGCCCCCAAACAGTAGATTTTTTTTTTTTTTTTTTTTGCGGAACTGAGGATTGAATTCAGGCCCTTGTGCTTGCCAGGGAAGCGCTTATTCTCTGAGCCATCTCCCTGGCCCCCAAGCAGTAGATTTTAACCAACCAAAGCTAGATGTATTGTAGCCAGCAGTACAGCTGAACTCAGCCTGAGTTCTCCTTTTTCACAGAGAGGAAAACAAAATCAAGTCTTGGGACACTCACAGCCTTTAAGCAGGGGCACACAATTAATCAAATTTGAACCTGGTATCTATTCATTGACCACTCTGTTTACCAGGGGGAAGACAGACCCGCCCTAGGCCTGCAAGGCCCCGCTGCCCCCGCTCCCTGTGGATACACTTGATTTTCCCGTCTGTTGAGAGGTGGACCAGGGAGATAGATCAGCACTCGAAGCACCTGCCTGGCAAACACAAGGACCCAGGTTTGATTCCTGGTACCGTATGCCGTGCTGGCCCCCAAGCCGAGCGTGGTGGCACATGCCTGTAATCCCAGCGCTAGGAAGGCTGAGACAGGAGGATCACTATGAGTCCAACCTGCATAGCAAGACCTTGTATCAAATAAATAAATTTTTAAAAAATCACTCTATCCCATCTGTTGAGAGGGGATGAGGTTCGTGGAGGACCTTCCAGTGCTGGCGCTGGGCATGTTTCTTTCTTTTTTTTTTTTTAATGTTTTATTTTTATTT